CACGGCAGTGTTAATAAAAAAACAAACACGTCATCTCTCCTTGAAAAGTGACCACACCTCCGGTTAGCACGCACGGTTGGTTACGTACAGTGCGAAAGAAGTTCAACATACAATACACCGTGCAATTATGTAGCTGGGTCTAAATGGGCGGCATATCGAGACGGCATATATATGTCCCAATTATTTTAAATTGCTTTTTTGTGTTGAGTTTGTTGTCCTTCCCCGCACCTCCGATTAGTACGGTTGGCTACAGACCCGTGATAAAGAAGTTCAACATACATCCATACAGATGCTGAGATTATGATTGTTACCAGGGACAATCAGCTATTCACGTAGATGGAAAAGAAAGTGCTTGAGCCTGGATTTGAGCGGGGGCAGGGAAAGCTCCGATCCAGACTACGGGGGAAGAAGCAGAGAGGAACGAGAGACCTCTAGCTGAGCGAAGGTTGAGTGTGTGGAGGGGAGTAGAGTGAGATGAGAGGGGAGAGGTAGGAGAGTGCGTGGAGGGGAGTGGAGTGAGATGAGAGAGGTAGGCGAGTGAGTGGAGGGGAGTAGAGTGAGATGAGAGGAGAGAGATCGAAGAGTGCGTGGAGGGGAGTAGAGTGAGCTGAGAAGGGAGAGGCAGGGGAGTGCGTGGAGTTGAGTAGAGTGAGATGAGAAGGGAGAGGTAGGAGAGTGCGTAGAGGGGAGTGGAGTGAGATGAGAGGAGAGAGACCGGAGAGTGCGTGGAGGGGAGTAGAGTGAGCTGAGAGGGGAGAGGCAGGGGAGTGTGTGGAGTTGAGTAGAGTGAGATGAGAGGGGAGAGGTAGGAAAGTGCGTGGAGGAGGCCCTTTGCACACACGTGTGCAAATGGCCTTGTGAACAACTGTTGAACAACCCAAGCACCATCAACGCACCCCTCCACTTGGAGGTCATTGCCATCTCAGGGCCTTTGTTGTGTTTGCACGCACGTCAATTGCACCTGTCAGGTGCCCAGGTGTGTTCTTTCTCATCAATGAGTCCCTTTAGCCCCCCATTATCGGTTACTAATTAACACCAAACCGAGGCGATTGTGAACAACGGAAGCCACTCCACGTGTTGTTGTTGCAGAGAATTGTCCTTTACATTAGGAATATTTAGGTGAAAACGTGTCGATGTCTCTGCCACGGACAACGAGGAGGGCATGCCATCAGAGGTGGTGAAGTTTTTTTTTTTCAGGAAGGTGGCCGAGTTACTCTGAAGTCAGAGCTCTGAGCTTTGCACCGCTGGGATCCTGGGTTTTGGACCCTTCTCGTGTACAGAGAGTTGATGGTTTCATACGGTTCTCCAGTGACAACAAATAGGAAGCCATTGAATTTCACACTTAGATAGAGACCCACTGACTCACACAGAGACCCACATCGCGTTGTGGTAAAACTTGGTTTTCAAGTGTAGTGACTTTATGCTCTCTGCCCGGTCACCAATTACTGCCTAAATTCCAGTTCTGAGAATGTAACGTCTGTGTTGCTGGCTTGCGACGACCATCACTCGCTTTAGCAGGGCCGGTTGGAAAGTGCTGAACCCTACGATGTGGGCCAGAGGTCACCAGAGGTCACCTGGTAAAGAGCTCTCAAGATACCTCTGAGATCCGTGCCGTCGAGAGGGGAAGCCACGAAGGCCCCAAAGAGCAGGGTTTGTCATTCAAAGTGAAGAACGCGAACAATATAAAAAGCGTGCAAAAGAAGTGTGCAGAGATGAACATGTTGAATGACACCGGCATGGCACTGTCGATAGAAAGTGGTTTTGAGCAGGCCACGTGGCCAGAAGCCATCACGACCCGCGGTCGAGACTAATGCAGGGCACGGTGGCATCGCCTCGAGTCCAGGTGATTGGCAGATTGCTACATCGCAGGATCAAGGGACGGCGACAGCTCGACGAGGCTTTCATCCAGCAGCGGATTGATCATGGACCGAGGACAATTCGTCGACATCAACGGGCGTCGAATACCATGCAGCAATCTCCAATGCCCCACGGCAAGGGGGATCGTCACGACTTGATGAATCTCCTTGCGTGTGGCTGTGCAGGCTCGCGCGTGTACGTTGGACTCTGGTGTTCGTATTGTTTCGGTCGTATCCAACCTCGTTCCAGCGCCACCGTTTCGATCGCTGCCCCGAAAAAGTGTTGCCTACAATACCTACATACCTGTGTACGGTGGCAACAGCATACCTGTCAACCCCTTATCAGTGCCTACCTTAATACAGACCAATTTATAGCTTATTGGTCATCCCGTGCCCCTTATAAATCTCAACGTTCATCCTACAAAGTCCCATCACAAGGGAGAAACACAAAGTCACAAATTATGGGGGGTTTTTTTGCCCGTATTAAAACGGTCGTACGCCGTATGGACCTCAAAACTCAATTCCCATGCAGAAAGAATACGGGGTAAGCCTCGTGGGTTGACAGCTGTACAAGTTCCCCATTGCACACGTGGTTGGCGAATCCCGCGCGAGTCGACGTCGTCCGATACCGCACTGCAGCCCCTGAACACGTGGTGAACGGACACGTGGTGCGACTCGGTGCATCAGTGTCACTCACTCGAACCGTGCACGACTCGAATGGTGTTTCCCTTCCAATGTCTTTCTTTGGCACTCAGACTTTGCAATGTTCATGATTGTTTTTTTGTTGTTGTAACTTTCTCGATATATATTTGACCAAGCTTCTTTCGCGGGTAAATTCTTGTGTAACGGCTTGAGGCTGAATGTTTATCCTCGACAACCATATAAAATGAATCCACCCGCTGGATGCAGGCCCCCTCTTTACCAGCAGTGTAGCTCCACGCGCGCATCATTCCATGCGTCTGGGCGCACCTTTCATTCAGCGTTAGTTCCATTTTCTTCCATCAGGTTTGTGAACCGCGTCGTCTCGGTGAATATACAATACTTTTGACATCAATGAACACTTTATTTAGGATGTTGCTTTTCATTGCGAAGCTCAGTTTTCCTAAAAACACTCCAATCTGCGTTTTTCCACTGATTTTTTTTATTCGAGTCCGCTTTCAAAATATACCCTTTTAAACCCCTATATTTGTAAGTTTATTTGGAATTCGTGTTGTACTTCTCCGTGACAGCCACAGCCTTAGCCGTGTATCTGCAATAGCTCTTTGGTTTGTGTGTTCCTGTATTTAACCTCCATGAAAGCCACTTCGCCTACGACCAGGGTTGCCAACCCTCCCAGATTGGGCAGGCGTTCTCTCCCGGAATTTACATCGATGTCCCCGTGACATTTTGAATGGAAACCCACTGATATTAAAATGACATTAAAATAAATAAAAATTAATCTAATACACAATTAGTACAATAAGTTAATTTTAATCAATGGCACTTCTTACATCTACACACAATATGCTGGCTTGATGTGTGAACTTCTTTCGCACCGTATGTAGCCATCCGTGCTAATCGGTAGGTACGGCGAATGTACACAGGTTATATGTACAATTTGAACGGTACAATTAATGACATTAAGTCATAAATTTTGATTTAAAGCTTTCGTGACTTCAGTAATTCATATTCTTAGCTCTTTCGGTAAAGTCACGTTGAAGGGAAACAATAAAGTAATAAATTATATATTAAAACGTCGTGATAATTTTAATTGTTTTATATGTAATTTGTTATTTTGTTGTTTCCCTTCAACGTGACTTTACCGAAAGAGCTAAGAATGTGACATTAAGTCATGTTCGGAAAATACATCTCCCAGAAGTGCTTCAGTCAGAGTTGGCAACCGTACTTGACAAAAGCACCCAGAATGCGACCGATTCCGTTCGACGCGAGAAGCGAAACGGGGTCTTTTGAGTTTGGGATCGCGCTCCGATGATGCGCGATCACTATAGAGGTGTAATGGGGCTGCTTCGGGGGGTTGTGTGCAGAGGTTGCGCAGTTCAGCAGAACGAGGCCGTTGTGCTCTGCTGCTGTTTACTCCCTGCCTTCACTCGCCAGCGACTAACGTGAAGTATAACTGCCAACACAGTCAACAACACTATGGCCTTAAAAGAAAACGTTCTGGACAATGTATTCAATATTAAGGGGCAATGTGCATTACCCGACACATCGCATATGATACACTTTTTTACGCAATGTTGTTCATATTCTTGGTTCTTTCGGTAAAGTCACGTAGAAGGGAAACAAAATAATAAAAATATAAAACAATAAAATTCTCACGACGTTTCGTCCATCTGAACTGTCAAATCGCTCTTCGTGGTGCTAACGTTAAAAAAACGCCACTTTTGTAAAACTTTCTTGCTGTGGTTTTCACACCTGATGATGATTGTGTTGCAGTCGAAACGTCGTGAAAATGTTATTGTTTTATATTTTTTATTATTTTATTGTTTCCCTTCTACGTGACTTTACCGAAAGAACCAAGAATATGAATCCCTGCAGTCACGAAAGCTTTAAATCATGTTGTTCATGTTCACTCAAACCCCGGGTCCCACAACCAGAGGCCCTCATCCAGCAGTGGATCGACCACAGCTGACCAGGAAGCCACTTAAGCCCACCACGTGCTCGCGAGAAGGCACCCGCCTCACGTGGCACGCCGCGACATGACCCCTGACCCAAGGGACCCCCCCCCCCCACTTTCCGACGAGGGGCACACCCACCACAGCAACAACCAATCAGCTGCGCTGTGCGAATACACCACGTGATCGCTCGCAAACCAATCGGGCGCGACAGGGGGCCGGCGGGGGGTGGAGGGGGGCCGCCGGGGGGTGGGATGGGGGCGGGGGGATGGGGGGGGCTGTTGGGCGGGGCGGGCCTGCGACGACTCTGGCATACCAGAGAACGTCATCGCCAAGCGGCAACAGATTTTTTTACGAAATGGCCGTCCATCTTGGTAAGGGGGTAAAGTTGGCCTCGCCATTTCTTACGAAGACCGCCGGCGGCTCCGGTGATGGCCGAGGTCCGACGTCTTGGCGGCGTCACGCGCCCTGGCAAATGGGGGGGGGGGGGGGGTTGGTGGCGGGAGGTGCGAGCGACTGATTTTTTTTACTTTACTCCCTGAGTAAGATGGCGCCGCTGGCGAGGGGGCGTCAGCGGGGCGAGGCGTGGCCGGGCGTGTGGCTCCGGGGCTGGGAGGAGGAGAGGCGGCGGCCGTGGGGAGTCATGGCCGCGGAGCGAGGGGACGCGGTTCGAGCCCGGGCGCGGCTCGGTCTCATCGCGGGGCACCTCAAGGCCCGGCCCGCGGGCTGCGCGGGAGCAACGCCCCAGCAATGCGCCTCGGCGGAGGGAGACGCGGGCAGGACCATACCAATGCGCAGGTGGCGGCGTGCGTGCGTGCCTGCGCGAGAGGGAGGCGGGGAGGGGAAGATTTCCCGCGTGTCTCCCTGTCAGTTTGTGTGTTGGTGCACCTAGTCTGGCACAGGCGCCGTGGTGAGCTCGGCGAATTGCGGTTGCAGCAGGAAAGAGCGGACGCGCCGAGAAGTTTTGTGGCTGTGAATGTGCGCGGCTCTGCGTGTGCGTTTGGTTTGTCGCGTGCGTGTGTTGGTGCACCTAGCCTGGCACAAGCGGTGGGTGACGTCGCGGACAAACAGCGGAGACTCGCGGCTGCTGTACGTGAATTGTGTTTTTGTGCATGCTTTAATAGGAGCTCGCAAACAACAGTGTTGTGCATGCCAGCGAGTTTGTCACTTCTGGTCTCTCCGTGTGTGTGTGTTGTGTAATTTAGTGTTGGTTATGAGTGGGTATTTTGTGTGCTTGTATTTGTAAGTACATTCGCCCGTGTGTCGGCCTTCATTTCTGTGACGGTGCGTGTGTGTCTGCGCACGTGTGAGCTTCTATCTGACGTGTGCGTGTTGTTGTTTGTGCGTGGCGTGGCTTGCCAGTGCGTGTGCCGATGTCCGTGTGCGTTTGTGAGCGTTCACGGTGACCAAGAGTTCACGGTGACCAAGAGTTCACGGTGACCAAGAGTTCACGGTGACCAAGTTCAATCGGTAAAGCGGTCACGGTGGTTCCTTGCCGAGTGAAGTTCGCCGGTGACCCGGTCTCAACCCCACGTCCCCTCTCGTCCCCTCTCATCCCTCGCTTCCCTCGCAATCCCCACGGCTCCCCTTTACGGCCCCCTCGCTCCGCATTTGGCTTCCTCTTGCACCCCCCCCCCCCCCCTCGCAGACAGGACCTGCTCAAGTGGAACGGATGGGGGTACACCGACTCCAGATTCATCTTCAACAAGAAGGGGCAGGCAGAGTTCACGGGGAAGAGGTGAGGAGGAGAAGGGAATTCCAAGCACACCTCACGACCACTCCCTTAACGGTTGGCATAGTGGTCAACCCGTACGGGTTTACCCTGTATTCTTGTACAGGGAAATTCAGTTTTCAGGTCCATATAATGCGGACAGCCGTTTCAATGCGGGCAAACAAACCGTAGCTTTTGTCTATTTGTTTGTGTTTCTCCCTTGTGATGGAACTTTGTAGGATGAACGTTGAGATTTATAAGGGGCACGGGGTGACCAATAAGGCCTGAATTGGTCTGTAATAAGGTAGGCAGCACTGATAAGGGGTTGACAGGGTATGGGTTAGGATCAGAGCGGGCGAGCTGGACTGCAAAGCCATCGGCCGAAGTTGACGGTGGCCCAGCCACTCAGGGGATCAATTCCAGCTGGGTCTGTCCAGGTTGGTGACCCGGAAAGTTTTTTTTTTTTGCACCTGGCACACCACATCCATCATTTCTTTCGCTTTGGCTGTCGGGACGAGTCGTGTGCCTTTACCGACTGCTAGCCACGAGAGTGCTTCAGCAGCCTCGACGTGCGTCTCGACAACGCTGTTATTTTTCCTTACGTTTCTGCCCAGGAAGTCACATTTAGGCGTTGAGAGTCCGTCAACACTTAGTTGGTCCACTTGAAGACCTCGTACGATCGGTTTCTGGCCCTCAACAGGGCCTTTTTCGTTCAGCATTCAGCTCTACGGATCACAAATGGATTTGAATTAACGACGTCCATTTCACCCAGATTGCGGCTCTATTGAAGGTTGACGCGAAAAAAACAACGCAACAGGTTGGGGCCACCGTAGGAGTCGGCGGCCGACCGTGATCCGGTGCTAACGCGACGACCCTGTGGCTGTGTTACCGTGTGGTGCAGGTACCGGGTGAGCGGCCTGGTGTTGCCGGCGCTCCGGGAATGGATGGAGCAGACGTTCGGCGCCAGCGTTGAGCACCACAGCGATGCGCGGGTGCGCTTTCCCCCCTTAGCAAACGGTGGTGGTGGAGATTTCACATTCTCATGGCGGTGCAAAGTTCACCCGCAGAGACGAACGCTTTTTGACTTGCAGCAGTGGTACTCGAGAGCGATGATTCACATGGCAAACAACGCGGCTGTGACCATAACATCGGTCCTCCCGTCAAGCATTTCAAGTAGTGTGACAGCACTATGCAGCGTGTGTGATGCGTGCAGACACTTTTCGTCATACACGGATAATGTAAGAATTGGTTTAAATTGATACTTATTTTAATTACTGACTCCTGAGTGACGACTGGACTGGATTTTAATGTATGCATGCTGTGACCACATTTTATGTACATTTGTGGTGGTAATAATAATAACTTAGTGAAGTTCCCCAACAGCTTTCTAAAGTAAAAAAATTCTGCTGATATAGCTCTATCCCATGTCTGTCTCCCACATGTGTCCTATGTCTGTCTCCCATGTCTCCCTTGTTTGACTCCCATGTCTCCAATATCTCTCTCCCGTGTCTCCCGTCTTAGCTCTCTCTCTCTTCCGTCCACAGACGTCGGTGAACGTGGAGGCGGTGCCGCCGCCGGTGCGGAACGAGGCGTTCGTGCGCGACCTCCAGCGAGCGGCGGTGCCGATGTCCGAGGACCCCGAGGACCGGCTGTTCCGAGCGCACGGTCGGTCTCCCGTCCCGTGCAGTCCTCGCACGCTTGCTCGTTCGTAATCACAACAACTCCTGTGACCGACACCGTGTGGAGAGGCCTTCATCTAGACAGTGGATTGACAAAGTGCTCCAAATAATCAACATAATAATAGTCACATGACAGCTCATGGTGACCTGCTCCTTCCGCGCACTTAAGACGGCGAGATTTGGACCTCGCAGTTTCGCGGTCAGTGGTCCATCGGCCTGGAGCTCACTGACGCTGCCCGATGTTCGAGACTCTTCGCAGACATTTAACCAGTACGGTAGAAGATGCAAGACACGACTGTTTAATAGAGCTTGCGATGTACGAATATTGCATACTCGTGACAAACTTAGGTTATAAGAGTTGCGTGTTTATAATTGTACTAACTTGCAAAGGTCCGGGAGGTGGGTCAAGAAGCTGGGCGTAGCGTAAACTCCTCGCTGACCGGAGCAGCCCTCTGACCCCACCGTACACCACCGCCACTCTCTCTCTGTCTCTCTCACCCCTGTGTCGTTTGTGCAGGTCACTGCCTGCATGAGATCTTCGCTCTGCGGGAGGGCAGGCTGGAGCGAGTTCCCGACCTCGTTGTGTGGCCCGGTGAGTGTCTCTGGGGAGGCGAGCGCCTCTGTCGCTCCGGCTCCCGTTCTCGCCTCTAAGTGAATATTCCACTTTAAATGAGCAATGGAAGTGGTGCTCATCTTCCATTGGCAACCGTGAACCGGTGGTGGAAATTCCGCATTCCTATGGCAGGGCTGGGTGCCTCGGTTGCGGGATGTTAACGACCTTGCGAGGTATACAGGACGTCATGGGTTTGATTCCAACCCTGATGCCTGTATATTTGGAGTTTGCGTGTTCTCCCCGTGGGTGTGTGGATTTTTTTTTCTCCGGGTACTCTGGTTTTCTCCTCCACATTTAGAATCAGCATGCGTTGATTCTAATTGTGTATTTGGCTGCTATAAATTTCCACATGATAAGCCAAAAGGTGAGCTGTAATTTGTGGCCAGGTCAGTTCTTAAAAATAGCTCTATAGCTCAGTGGGCCTTACCTGGTAAAATATGAATAGTTGATAGTCCATCCAGAGGGCAACCATTGTTGTGAACTTTCCGCAACGTGGTATAAATTTTATTCACCCCAGAGGGATGATGGGCTGAGTTAACGCCCCCCCCCCATCCAAAATTTGAGCTCACTATCTTCCCATTGCGAGCCGCTCGCTCTACTGCTGAGTCACCTGGCTGGTTAGCTTTAATTTATAGGTACTACCATCTACCCATGTTTATCCAGGGTGATGCGGCAGAGGAGTGACCAGTATAAAACTAAAACACGGATAGCGCCAAACAAATGTAAATTAAACTACGAACGTGCAATTATAGTTTAGCTGCGTAGAATGCTGGTGAAGCCGCAGAATGTGTCATTTGTTTCTATGAAAGTAATCCATCGGTTTACTTGCCAACATGTTTGTGGTTATATATATTAATATTATTAATTATGAAAAATATATTATTATTATTAAAAATATATATTTTTATATTTATAACCCATGCTAACCTGATTGGTATACTTTACAATCCACTGTTATTGCATCATCTCACAGACGGGCTGCACAATGACCTTAATCATTAACTTTTTCCATCCATTTCATTCACCTACTGTACATAATGCAGGTTTTTTGGTTTAGATCGCATAAATATATAAATTTGTCGTTAAACCCGCCACCACCCGACACAGCCAATTAGTAAGGTTTGTCACTAAACAAAAATGCCAATTGGTTATGAGGGCAGCACACCGGTGCGTGTTAAACTACGTGTTAAACTCACCTGCTGTATGATCTTGATTTACTTACTGTAACCAAGAGCCTACTTTATGGACAGTTATATTTCGTGAGTTAGAATTTTTTTTTGTAAAATTATATTGCCCATGCTCATGATCATCATCCTCGTCATCATCGAATCGATGGCTGTTTCCCTTCAACGTGACTTTACCGAAAGAGCTAAGAATATGCCTGCCCATGTCCGTGTTTTGCGACGGATCGCAGGCAGCCATGAAGACGTGGTGCGGATCGTGGAGCTGGCTGTGCAGCACAACGTCTGCATCATCCCGTACGGCGGTGCGTTCCGTGTGTGTGTGTGCGCGACGCCACTTAACACAAATTGCGAAACAAATAAAGAACTAAATAGATAAACATCTCTTCCCCGAATGTAATCCAAATCGTGCTATCGGCATCGTGTCATTAGACCCAAAAATCCGTTAGTTTTTTTCGCAGAGTAGTACAGACCCCTGTCAGTGTAACACGTAGGCTTTCGCGACCAATATCATCCATAATACAGGGGTTTTTTTTAGGGTTACATCGCGTAAATATATAAATGTGTCGTTAAACCTGCCACCACCCGACACAGCCAACTCGTAAGGGTTGTCACATAAACAGAACGTGGCCAATTCGTCACTAGTACAGCACACCGGTGTGTTCGAGAGCAAAGCCACAACATTTACAATCTGAGTACGACGTTTCCCCAGTAATTACAACTAGCTTCATCAGGTGACAGCCAGGCCGCTCTGCAACACAGACCCCTGTGTTGCAGAGCGGCCTGTGGAATCGGATATTACAGAACTGTTTTCAATATTGCTTTGAGTGACCTTGTTTTCAAGTAGGGGGCAGCACTTTTTCACCCGCTTTGCTACGTGAGAGTAATGTTCGTTAAATTACAGTCAAACCAATATTTTTAATTCTCAGAATTGGATTTAACGAAATTAACTGTAGAACCAATTTTAATACAAATCATATATTTATACGTACAAAGTCATTGAAGACCAGGCTAAGGACAGCAAATTGCCTGCACTTAAAAACCGGTATAACCACGGGCGGCTGATTGGATTGGCACCAGGATGTCAATGGTGGCAGCTTAGAGCACAGACCTCTTGAGCCACCCGGCCACCTCCCAATCACCGCTTTAATCTGGCTGTGGATGCGTTTCCCAATTGCCCGGGCACACTCCGCACCGCTCTTGAACCCTGCGGTCACTCAAAGCAAATGCAGAGAAGCGGCGGGTAGGCATGATGTTGACATAGTTTTTATGGTAATAATTATCTATTGTACCCGTCATGTTAGGGTTTTCTACAACATGCCCGTTGTAGATCGACTCTCCCATTTTTTGTTGTCTTGTTACCAGTTTTGTTCTGATTGTTCTCTCGGTGTTGTGTCATGAGACAAAGTGCGCGTTTGGAACTCTATTAGAGAATGGTCCGTTGACGGAGATATCTGCGATATCTCCGTCAACGGACCATTCACATGACCTCGTTTATCCACACGAAGGGATGCTCCGCTTTCTTACCTGCCCTGCTCTAGAGATGTTCATCGCTTGAGCTACAATATATCCCAATAAAAAATATCGAAAATAGAAAACACCAACATTTTAACGTAACAATTGTATTATACATTCATTGGTGGCTGGTTGGGCACCTTCGACTTGAGAACTGCATTTAATCGCGGTCGTGACAAACCCGTGATCTCAGCAGCGCCAGCTCCACGTCTCTGACCTCTGAACCACCCAGCTGCCTCAATTTCACCCGTTAATCTCGCCAATAATTCTCGCATGTTTACTCTGCGTACGCAACGCTCTAATGCGCACCACGTGCCCTGTTGCGGTTGACACTTGAGTGTCATGTCCCATAACGCCGCGTGTCCTGAGTCCGTCTCGAAGTGTGTACGTACGTATGTTGAACTTCTTTCGCACCGTACGTAGCCAACCGTATGTGTGTGTATGTATGTGTGTACGTTCAACTTCTTTTGCACCGCACGTACCCAACTGTGCTAATCGGAGGTGCGGGGAAAGGGCAAGAAATACGTTTACAATCTCCATTTAAAAGTGCATAGCTCCAGCGGTTTCCGAATATCGGAATGGAACGGCGTTCCAGACGGCTGCAAAATCACATCTGTGACGAGTGCGCGTGTTTCCCGTCCCCATTTCTTCGTGTTTGTGTCCTGTCCTGGCAGGCGGCACCAGCGTGTCCAGCGCCCTCGAGTGTCCCAGTGACGAGACGCGCACCATCGTCTCCGTCGACACGTCTCAGATGGTACGGCTTGCTGCCTGCCTGCTCGCTCACTCGCACCGTCTGCTCTGTGGCCCCAAGGGCCCCCCCCCCGTTACACTAAGAGGGCCCCAAACACATGTTTTGCAGGGTTATTAGAGGCCACCACGCCTTGCAGGGTTTTAGGCCCAGGGTGGGGAAGCTTTTCTTCACTGAGGGCCAAATAGGAATCTCAAATTCCTTTGGCGGGCGACCACACATCCTATAAATATTGCGTATGTGTCGGCCGATTGTACGAAGGCCCTTTGCAGTTAGTGTGCAATTATAATTAGAACACAGGGTTCCAGTCGGGTCGTAAATATTGCCCTCTAGTTCCTGATTGATGCAGCTCAGCCAAATAACTGTAATTTGTGGACCATTTCTAAATTTTGTGCCCCGAAATGCGTATGAACTAAAGTCTTGGACCATATCCGTTCGGTTCCTTACCACTGATTTAGAGGGTCCAGCATGCACTCCACAAGGCCCGTAGGTTCCACAAAACATTAAACTAAAACTGTTAAACTTTATATTCTACCAGGTAAGGCCCACTGAGCTAAATAGCTATTTTTCAGAAGCGACCTGGCCACAAATGATAGCTCAACAAAGTGGCTTTTTGTGTGGAAATTTATAGCAACTAAATACCCTAAAGGCATGTTTATAAATGTGGAGGGAAAAACCGGAGGATCCGGAGAAAATCCACTCAAGCACGAGGAGAACACGCAAACTCCAGTTAACATCTCCTAGCCACCGTGATGATTATGAGAGAGGGAGACACGCAAACTCCGAATACACAGCAGCAGGCATCAGGGTCGGGATCGAACCCACGACCTCCTGCATACCAGGCGAGATGTTAACACTCCATGTCGCACTTCAGTTAAAGAGTCTGCGCCGTACCACAAACCCCGCTTGCGGCTCCCTTTCAGAACCGCATCCTGTGGATCGACGAGACGAATCTGACGGCACGGATCCAGGCGGGGATCATCGGGCAGGACCTGGAGAGAGAGGTGGGGTGACGATGACACACGCAGGCACCCATGCCAGGTTCCCCGCGCCCATACCCCGGTATTCCAGTGGCCTCTAACTGGGGCATTAACCTGGTCTCCCCTCCCCAGCGTTACGATTGGGATAATTGAATGCTTGACCCAATTGTGCCGGCGTAACGGTCGGAGCCACCCTGCGTGTGTGTGTGCGTTTATGATGCCCCCGTGCGATGGATGGTGCAACTTTTGTCCGCGTCGTTCCTCCCTCAGCGTATCCCCTTGTCCCTTTGTCCACATGGCCCCATGCCGACGGACCCCCCCAAGTCACCATATCCCCATGTCCCCGTATCTGCATTTCTCCATTTGTCATGTATGCCTGTGTCTCCATGTCCTTGTGCCCCTGCATTCCTACGCCCACATACTCTGATGTCCGTGTGCTCTCATGTCTGCGTACTCTCATGTCTGCGTACTCTCATGTCTGTGTATCACGAAGCCATGTGTCCCCATGTCTTGCGTATCCCACGTGTCCCCGTGTCGCGCGTGTCTCCATATCTCGCGTATCTCCGTGTCCTGCCCCCCCCCCCCCCCCCGTGTATCACAGCTGGGCGAGCGAGGCTACTGCACGGGCCACGAGCCTGACTCCATGGAGTTCAGCTCACTGGGTGGGTGGGTGGCGACGCGCGCCTCCGGCATGAAGAAGAACGTCTACGGCAACATCGAGGACATGGTGAGGCAGCGGCAGAAGCAGCACACGCCGCGGGGGGGGGGGGGGGGGAGGGGGGCACGCATGTTGTAACACTGCGTGGTGACGCTGTAACGCCGTGTGGTGATGTCCTGTGAGACGATGCGCCGTGTAACGGTTGTGGGTATGGCGGTGCTTTGCTAACTTGCCTCTGTCCTCCCTTAAAACAACCCCCATATCTTCTCCCTCGCCCATCCTTATGCCGCCACTCCCTGCCCCCGCCCCCCAGCTACGACCAGGCCTACCCCAATCACTAACCTAACCCCTACCGCTACCCCAACCGCTACCACTACCCCAACCCCTATCGCTACCCCAACCCCTATCGCTGCATGTGTTGCGTCTAACGATGCTGCGTGGTAACGCTGCGTGTAAAGACACTGCGTGGTAACGCTGGGTGTGACGATCACTGTGGCGGTTTGTGCGTGTGCTGCGCATGCAGCTGGTGCATGTGAAGGTGGTGACACCACGCGGCGTGGTGGAGAAGAGCTGCCAGGGCCCACGCACCTCCACGGGCCCCGACGTTCACCACTTCATCATGGGCTCCGAGGGTAACTCCAAACAACAAAGATCCCCCGTATAGCCTTGACAGACTCTCGGGGCAAGTGCTGTTAGCGAGCACCGCACACGCAGACGCGCGCTGCTATTCGCCATTTTGTGTAATTAAAGATAAATGAAGTGATAATATAATCACGACGTTGACGATATTTTGCAAGCCGGACCGCGCGACTATCGTGCAGCTTGCACCTTGCGGTAGTACGTCGTAGCATCGCCTTATCGCGGCGACCATAGTTACACGGATGGGATCCCCCACACCCCCCTCCTCCACCATGGCGCAGTCCCCCCCCCCCCTTCCTCCCCAGAGGTCATGAACTCCAAGGGTCACGGTGGGGTCACTCCAGGAATTTGTGTTGTGTTCCTGTCCCAGCCGGCTCACCACTCCCCCTCCCCCCAGCCTGTGACCGGGGTTTGAACTTTAGCGTTGTTCGTGGCCGGCCGACGCATCTGTCACGTGCGAGAGTTACGGCCCCTCTGGAGTCACGGCCGGGTCAACGGGCTGCTGCTAGGCGATCGGCGACGCATGCACATTCTTCTTTGGTTCTTTCGGTAAAGTCACCACGTAGAATGAGAATAAAATAATAAATTGATAAAATAAAATAACGCAATAAAATTCTCACGACGTTTCGGCCACAACACAAGCGGCCTTCATCAGGTGAAGGGACGAGACTGTCTGGAGGACAGCGCTGTCCTCCAGACAGAAAGAACCAAAGAAGAGATGAATCCTTGCAGTCACGAAAGCTTTAAATCGGCATGCACATTATTTTTGCACCCCCGATGAGCACAGTTGGACTAAGTACGGTGTGCGAAAGAATGTTCTGCGTACCTTTGATTTGACTTTTCCGTGGTTTCTTGGTAAATTCAGTGTGAGGCTGAGAGTGCCTGCCACGCCCCTCCCCACCCCCTCGCGCACCGTGCCTGCTCGCTGCACAGGTGCTCCGCTTAACAGCACCTGCCCCAACAGCAAACGTCAGCTACACGTTGGGGGGGATGGGTGGAATATTTTGTCTTTGTTTACACGTGTATGTGTCCACATGCATGCGTGTGTGCGCATGTGCATCTGTTTGCCTATACATCTGTGTGTGTGTACACGTATGTCTGTGCGTTTGCGCATGTTCATGTATGAGCGCACGCGCGCACGTGTACGTGCGTGCGCGCGTATCTTCGCGCGCACGCACGCACGGTCCGACTGCGTGTTTACCCGTGCGTGCGTGTGTGTGCCACAGGAACCCTGGGGTTGGTGACCGAGGTCACCATGAAGATCCGGCCACTACCCCAGTCCCAGAAGTACGGCTCCGTGGTTTTCCCGTCGTTTGAGCAGGGTGTGGCCTGCCTGCGTGAGGTCGCTCGCCAGGTGAGACCCTGAGGCATGCCCCTCTGCTCATAGCCATGCTCTGCCCCTCAACTTGCCTTGCCCCCTAACCCTGCCTTGTCACATTCGATCGTTGAGGCCGCTGTGCTGCTGCTGCTGTTGTGGTGCTGTGTGCAGAGATGTGCGCCGGCCTCCATCCGCCTCGTCGACAACTCACAGTTTCAGTTTGGTACGACCGCTCCCCACGTCAGCCCTCGCTCCACGAACTACACACCTCACCCCTCACACCACGAACTACACACCTCACCCCTCACACCACGAATCACACACCTCACCCCTCACACCACGAATCACACACCTCACCCCTCACACCATGAACCACACGCCTCACCCCTCACACCACGAACCACACACCTCACCCCACGCTCCACGAACCACACGCCTCACCCCACGCTCCACGAACTACACACCTCACCCCTCACACCATGAACTACACACCTCACTCCTCACACCACGAACCACACACCTCACCCCACGCTCCACGAACCACACGCCTCACCCCACGCTCCACGAACTACACACCTCACCCCTCACACCATGAACTACACACCTCACTCCTCACACCATGAACCACACACCTCACCCCACGCTCCACGAACCACACGCCTCACCCCACGCTCCACGAACCACACACCTCACCCCTCACACCACGAACCACACACCTCACCACTCACACCACGAACCACACACCTCACCCCTCACACCACGAACCACACACCTCACCACTCACACCACGAACCACACACCTCACCCCTCACACCATGAACCACACACCTCACCCCTCACACCATGAACCACACACCTCACCCCTCACACCATGAACCACACGCCTCACCCCTCACACCATGAACCACACCTCACCCTACGCTCCACGAACCACACACCTCACCCCACGCTCCACGAACCACACACCTCACCCCTCACACCATGAACCACACACCTCACCCCACGCTCCACGAACCACACGCCTCACCCCACGCTCCACGAACCACACACCTCACCCCTCACACCACGAACCACACACCTCACCACTCACACCACGAACCACACACCTCACCCCTCACACCACGAACCACACACCTCACCACTCACACCACGAACCACACACCTCACCCCTCACACCATGAACCACACACCTCACCCCTCACACCATGAACCACACACCTCACCCCTCACACCATGAACCACACGCCTCACCCCTCACACCATGAACCACACCTCACCCTACGCTCCACGAACCACACACCTCACCCCACGCTCCACGAACCACACACCTCACCCCTCACACCATGAACCACACACCTCACGCCTCACACCACGAACCACACACCTCACCCCTCGTGCCATGAACCACACACCTCTCCTCTCACACCACGAACCACACACCTCACCCCTCGTGCCATGAACCCCAGACTGATGTGGGGTCTCCATCTCCACTGTTCAGGGCACGCGCTCAAACCGCAGGTCTCGTCAATCTTCACATCGTTCCTGGACGGCCTCAAGAAATTCTACATCACCAAGGTGGGTGGGTGTGGGTTGGTGGGTCGGTATGGGTGCGCGGGTGGGAGTGGTTGTGTGGGTGGGTGTGGGTGGGTGGGTATGGGTGGATGGGTGTGGGTTGGTGGGTCGGTATGGGTGCGTGGGTGGGAGTAGTTGTGTGGGTGGGTGTGGGTGGCAGTGGGTGGGTGTGGGTGGATGGGTGGGTCACGATGGGTGGGTGGATGGATATTGGTGGTGCGGTGCGTGGGTGAGTATGGGTGAAGCAGTGGGTGGATGGAGGTGTGGGTACGGGTGGGTTAGTAAATAATAGATAATTCAGGGCATGTGACTGAGTAAATGACTTATTGGCAGAGGTTTGTACCTACCTGTGCGTGTAATTGTGATGTAAGGGTTTGTGAATGTGAATATATAGTTTAATAGGGGCTGTGTGAGAGAATGTCTAGTTTACTGGTGCGCGTGTGTGCCATCATGCGCCTGTGTATGCCTATAACTCGCAACCATTAATGTGTGTGTGCATATGTCCTCGCATTGTGTGTGTATGCCCTGTGCGCGTGTAATTCATGAGTGACCATACACTTGTCTTTGTTTGTATGTGCGTGTGCGCGCGTATGTATGTACGTGTCCATACGTCCGTGTAATGACCCTGATGTAGTTCAAGGGCTTCGACCCGCAGCACCTGTGCGTGGCGACGCTGCTGTTCGAGGGCGACCGGGATGCCGTGCTGCAGCAGGAGAAACACGTGTACGACATCGCCGCCAAGTTCGGGTGAGGGTGCCCTCCTGGGCCAGGCTGCCCCACTCGCAGACGCTGCCCTCCGTACACGCTGCCCCCCGTACACGCTGGCCCATCCCCCCTCACAGACACTGCCCTCTGTACACGCTGCCCCAGTCCCGCTTACAGACGCTGCCATCCGTACACGCTGTCCCAGTCCGCTGCAAAGGCTCCCCCCTGTAGTTGCTGCCCATGTACGGACTCCGCCTGTTGAATATGTCCCAATCGAGGCTACCTTTCTTGAGACTGCCATTTTTAAGGCTGTCCCCATTCGGGCTGCCCTTATGGAAGGCTGCCCTTATAGAGACCATCTCTATAAGATAGTTACCCCTATCACAGTCTATGTCAACATCAAGGGTTCCTCCATGTAGTGGCTGCCCATTGCTGCCCTTGTACAGACTGTTCCTGTAGACCCTGCCCTGCAAGCACTGCCTCCGCAGATCCTTTCGCTGAGCGACGACCTTATCACGGGGACCGTGCCCCCTGTGGACACCTGGCCCCTCTCGATGCCGTCCGTCCCTGGCCTCTCATGCCGTTGCCCTCCGCGCTGTGTTGCTGCAGGGGCCTGGCGGCAGGCGAGGATAACGGGCAGCGCGGGTACCTCCTCACCTTCATCATCGCTTACCTGCGCGTGAGTCACGTTGGGCGCCGTGCGTCACAACGCGACACGGCTTGCCTGCGCGTGTGGCGCCCGTCGTGCAGAGTAAACCACTGGAAAATAAACAAAACTATGACAATGGGAATAACAAAAAATCCACTGGCCAATTTGTCCAGCTCAGGTGACCTCACCGGGTATTCTTTCTCGAGTTCTCTGCTGCAGGGTGGGCTCACGGTTCGAGTTACCTCCTCCTCCGTCCTGGTCCATCTCTCGAGCTTTTTCCTCTTCGCTGCATCACTCAGCCTCCCCTTTCTTCACTCCCTCTTTCCTCCTCCCTCCTTCACCTTTGCTTTATTTTCCCCAACATGCTTCTGAAGCTTCCTTCGGCAAGCCTGCTTCTCTGGCAGTACGACCCGTCTAGATTCTCGGTCTTCTTCCTTCTCTGCATAGCTCTGATCAGACTTGTTCCCGGGCGCACACCGCAACATCTTGAACCTCGGCTGTGCTCCACGCTGTCCGTCTTGTTACTCACAGGACCTGGGCATGGACTACTACATCATCGCGGAGTCGTTTGAGACATCTGTGCCCTGGGACAGGTAACTACTAAACTATTTAAAAAAATTTTTTACCAGGTAAGGCCCACTGAGCTATGTAGCTCTTTTTCAGAAGTGACCTGGCCGTCACAAATAATAGCTTAACGAAGTGGCTTATCACGTGGAAATTCATAGCAGCCTACATACGTGATGTTGATTCTAAATGTGGAGGGAAAAACCGGAGGACCCGGAGAAAAATCCACGCGACCACGGGAAGAGAGACAGGCAAACTCCAAATATACAGACATCAGGGTCGGGATCGAACCCACGACCTCTTGTATACCAGGCGAGGTAGTCAACATCTCGCCACCGTGGTGGCAATGGCAATCACGTCGGTAACCTGAGGGTGTGACGCAGTGCTCTCGTTTTGTGGGTCACTGAGTAAATCTTAACCTTTCGTTTCTGGCGACAAGCGTGAGCAACGCGTATTTGCCCCAGGGATAAAATGCACGACGTTACTTTGAAGCCGAGAGTAAGGTCACGCGTGTCCGCACGTATTCCGTGTCTCCTGACGCGGTGCTCGAAGTTGTTTGCGTGACAGCACTGAGCTGTGCCAGGCCGAGGGCGCCATCCAAAGACCGCGCTGACCCCGCTCGCCCACGCGCGCGTTTTAACACGCGCGTGCGGGGATTGAACCTGAATTCGATTCCTGCTCACGCCCAACACCAGTGACGATTATCTGAACCGGTCCTGGGCCTCCCCTAGGTCAACTCAGCCTCAAATGAGAACCTGGTGTGGTGTGTAAACATCACCACTAGGGAGAAAAAGGCGGCCGGGCGTAGTATTGGCCACTGACCTTCCCGTGCGCCGCGCCGGCCTTCATAGGTGCTCGCTAACAGCGCTTGCCCCAACAGTCTGGTTAAGGCTACACGGGGGACTCTTTGTCTTTGTGCGTGTGCAGAGTCCTGGATCTGTGCCGGAACGTGAAGGAGTGTCTCATCCGCGAGAGCAAAGAGCGAGGGGTGCAGTTCCCGGCGTTCGCCTCGTGCAGGTTGTTTGCCTGGCGGTGGCACCGCGTGCGGCACGCAGATCAAAGCGGTTGCTGGTTGGGGGGGAGATGTCGTTATCTCGATCAAACAGCACCGCTCGGCTTGTTGTGCCGTCCCAAACCGCCGTGGCACGGCTTCCTCGTGCGCCGACGAGGTTGATTTGACCGATCGAGATCGTCTGCCCGTTGGTGGTCGTGGTGGTGGTGGTGGTGGACGGGGTGACTCCGGTCGTGCTAAAAACGCTGAGCTGGCACCACAAAGACCTTGAGTTTGAATCTGGGTTAGTGTCTGCTGCCCGTGATGAAAGTGTAGCCAGTTGACGTCAGCGCAGCCTCCAATGACCCGCATAGAAACCAATCTGCAATCGATTAAACCGCTTTCTCCACTGTAGTTTACGGGCTCACAGAGATCCATAGACTTGAGACTTAAATAGCAACTCGTACGCTCACATTGAGACCCACAGACTGTGATTAAACCAGGTTACCAAATGTAGCAAGTTGACGGTATAAGTCCGGTCACCACTGACTGCGACAAGATCATTGCGTTTGCTTTACCGCCTTAATTTCGGATGGATCCCCGACCCTCTGACAAAGCTTTTGGTTTCGGTTGACACGCGATGCGACGTCGTCATACGCGGGTTGTATCGGGGCGCGCGGTGGTCGAAGGCTAACCTCTCCTCTCCGCCCGCCCCCGGTGCTCCCCCTCCTGTGGTCGTTGGCGCAGGGTGACGCAAACGTACGACGCCGGCGCCTGCGTTTACTTCTACTTCGCCTTCAACTACCGCGGGCTTGGCGACCCCGTGCACGTGTACGAGCAGATCGAGGTGAGGCCGCCACCTAGCGCCCGCCGCTGCAATTGCCCCGCGTCGTTTGAGGGGTGAGCAATGTACGGACGTTGCTCACCACTGGTACTGCAAGAGAGGTCCCTGGCAGTGACAAAAGTATTGGCAGGCTGAAAATATTCCCCCGTAGCACCCAAATAGTTTAGCTCGTATAATAATAATAATAAACTCGGTTTTCCATAGCACAAGTTCGCACAAGGCCGATGGAGAAAGCCTGATGTAAAAACAGGTGAGTTTTAAGACACAATTTCAAAAGTAACATAGACTCAGATTCCCTAATGAACCGAGGAAGGGAATTCTATCATTGTGGAGGATGGCTGCAAGAGGTTCTGTCTCCAATAGAGCAGAGTCTGGTCTTTGGAAAGAGAAAATCAGAATCGGCAAAGGCAAATATAGTTTGGGGCCATTTATAATCGGTAGGCCTCGTGTGGCTGTGGGTCATATGCATTTGAGTCACGACCCCATGGTTCCCCCTGCCCCCCTGGTTTAACCCCCCCCCCCCCGCAATCAATTCCCCGTTCCGTGTTTTTTCCCGGCAGAGCGCAGCACGGGAAGAGATCTTGGCGAACGGGGGCAGCCTCTCTCACCACCACGGCGGTGAGCAGCGCCGTCGCCGCCACCGCGCACCGGCGCACGTGCCGAGCGTGCCACTCTCTCTCTCCCCCAGCTCGGCGATCTCTCTCTCTCTCTCCCGGCTCGCCACCGTGCCACGTGTGCAGATGTCTCTCTCCACGCACGGCATCGCTCGCCGCTCAAAAATTCCCAGCATTGAGCGGCCGTGCGCCCATCACGCTCGTGTGTGGTGGTGGTGGAGGTGGCCTCTGCGGGTTGCTGTGCCCATTTGGTTTTGTGTGTGTTGTGTTTAAAGTGTGTCCACTGCTTTCTGTGTGTCGTGTCTTGTGTGTCCAAGTCAAAGTGATTTTCTGCTAAAAGCATTTAGGCAGCGCCCATTCCCCGTTTACAGCTCTGAGTCAGTGGTGGCACTTCCACATTGTTAGGGCAGGGGTGAGTCTATAGGACCACTGTTGACTTCCTCACTTCGTGGTACAGGGACTCCTCTATTTACGAACGAGTTAGGTTCCAGAGGTCTGTTGGTAAGTTTATTTGTTCATAACTCCAACTTTACTCCTGTCAAGTCCAAACATGTTGTTATGGCATGTACACTAAAAACGGGGAATGGCTTTAAAGTTGTATAATCTCCTGCAGATGTAGATGCAACTCTCGCCATCTATTGCGCGGTGGTTAAACTTACAACTCTCGGTCCGAACAGGTTTGGTTCGTATCTCTGAAAGTTTGTAAGTTGAATAATCGTAAGTAGAGGAGTCCCTATACTAGTGTTATTACCCACAGAGGGATGATGGGCAGAGTCTTTCCCCAACCAGCATTTTCCGCTCGCTCTACCGCTAAGCTTCCTAGCCAAATTTATGTAAGAATGTTTCTATGTGCTGTCTGTCCATCTCATGTGCTGTGTCCACGTTGTCGTATTTACACCGGTACTCTGTGTGTGTACTGTGTTTGTTCCCTGCCACAGTGGGGAAGTTGCGCAAGCGCTGGCTGCCCTCAGCCGTGTCGGACGTCGGAGTGGGAATGCTCCGTGCCGTCAAGGACTACGTGGACCCCAAGAACATCTTCGGCAACAAGAATCTGCTCTGAGGACCCATCCCACGGGGGCGGGGGGGCAGGAGGAGTTTGGCAGGAAGGGGGGGGGGGTGTGGTGGAGGGGGGCGGGTACGGAGGACAGTAGCTGGCAGAGAGGGCAACCCATTTCCACGGATAAACCCAACCGACCATCAAATACATGCACTTGGAGCCGTGTAACAGGCCAGTCGCCAGATGGTGCCACTCAACACTTGATGGGAACACCCACCACCAGATGGGCACTCACCATATAGGGCCACCCCCAAGATGGGCCATTCGTCAGATGCGTGGAATGGCCGAAGTGGTGAGCCGCCGTGGCATTGGCGGAGCCTGGGTTTGATTTTCTGGCCCTGTCCCACACGGCACTTAATCCGCTCGCTCGGCGCGCTTTGGATTTGCATTGAGTTGGCTTTTACTTTCATGCTTTAGCTTAGAGGTGAATGGTTGGCTTTTGCCGGGAACGGTTTCTGCAGGGTTTCCGGTGTGCTGGAGAAAATTATTGCCTGTGTGTGTGTGCGCGTGTTTGTGTGTGCGTGCACTGGTGAGAAATGTGGTCAGGTTGTGGTTGCCACACCCCACCCCCCACCCCTTTGTGTGCCGTGCCCATGTGCACAGGTGCTCGCTGACAGCACTTGCCCCAACAGCCTGTGCAGCTATACGGGGGAGCTTTGTGTGTGTGTGCTGGCCGGTGTGCTTGGGACTTCATGCTTAAGATGACACTAAACTCTAGGCATGTATCGATTCATCGATTGAAATCTATTATTGCACTCATACATGTATGGAATTGTGTGCGTAACTATCGGTCATTTACGATTTATGCAAATTATATGCAAACGATACGAAAAAGTTGCATTTGGACTAGTGGGGCGAACAAAACTGTACAAACAAAACTTTACGAACGAGACTGAAAGAAATGAGGCAATATAAATAGATGCAAAAACCAGATGAGGTGAATTGATTACTCAATCGAATCGACATCAATTCGTGGCAGCTCAATTGCTGGAGTGGAGAGGTGATTCCTTACATGCCTAGCTTACAGTGTGCGAGCGAGCGTACATGTGTGCGTACATGAATGTGTGTGAGCATACTCACGACTCGTGCGCGTGTGAAGTTGTGTATTGGTGGGTGCTTTTTGTGTGTTCACGTAATAAGTGTGTGCATATATGACTGGGTGCATGTGTGTGTGTTGGTGGTTATGAATGTGTGTATGGGTGGACTTTGAGGCTTGAGGTGACACTGAACAGTCGGGGATTAACAATGTACCTCTCCTGGAAATCTGGTGAATTGTCACGATTAAGGGTAGCGATTCGATTACAGAATCAATATTTTTTTTACACATTGCCGTGAATGTAGCAGCCTCGAGTGGATGCTAATACCCATTTCAAAACCTGACGAATCAAAAACATTGTTTCTTGCCATGATTTGACGAACGCGTCTTCATCTTAAGAATCTCATATCGATAATCGATTAATCTGTCCATCATCATTTACACCCCTACTTGACGGCAAAGCTTTAGCTGAGAGAATTCAGTGAAGATCGGAATATACAGAGTGCTCTGCATCGTTGCAGAAAGCGGGTGGGAGGGGCGTTTGTGTTCGATATGACACGTTAGCGTCGAAGCATTTCATTTCGAGAGAAGACTCCACCCAGAGACCCAAGCAGCTCTTCTATCGTAGCACCACACCTCGGCTGCGTACCCCGGGGACTCGCACGTGAGTTTTAAGGTTCAGTGTGAGAAAAACGATTTTCATTTACTTTCTCGAGCACCGCCAATGCTGTCCAGTGCCCTCACTGACGTGAGCTGCCGTCCATTTTATTTTATATGTCACTGCAAGTGTCACTAACGGTGCGTGCCACAAAGCCACTTGAAAGTCTTTTAACTCATTCCTGAAACTTCCTGGGACAGCCGAGGTGGGAATCCACAAGGGCTTTTCGAGGTGGCTGGGTGGCTCGGAGATCCGAGTGCTGAGCTAGCACCGCTGAGATGCATTTGAATCCATGCAGCTGCTGCTGCCTGTCGTTAAACCGGGTTCTCGACTGCAGTGAGTTGAATGGCCTCAGCCCGGTCACCAATGACTACGCAAATAACCCCGTTACTTATATGGTTCTAGTCAACTGTGTTAAATTTCAGCTTGGAGCGCCACAATATTAAGGTTCATACTTTTTGTTTTTTTCGGTAAAGTCACAGGTAAAACAAAATTAAAATAAAAGAAAACTAAATCAAATCACGACGTTTCGGAGGCAACACAAGCTTCCGTCTTCAGGTGGAACAGTCACAGCAAGATAGATGCATCACTTGATTTGATTTAGTTGTCTTTTATTTTAATTTAGTTTTACCTACGTGACTTTACCGAAAAGACCAAGGAGTATGAATCCTTGCAGTCACGAAAGCTTCAAATCTAGAATATTAAGGTTGACATGCGATGATCGTTACTCTCTGTAGCAGAGTGGGTGCACTTTCATTGTGGACCAAATGGGTACAGTGCTCTGTGAGAGTTTCAAATGGATTTCCTTTACCAAGACATGATGCTGATAGCCCGATCGGGATAACATTGAGGGAAAGCATTGAAAAAAATGGTTAAGTTAATGTTTTGGGTTGAATCTTCCTTTAAACCGATATAAGCTCTAGGGAGCCCAAGAATCGTGCCTGTAGGGTTAAATATGCTGCTGATCCATGGTGTCTACTAGTGATCGTTTGCTGCCATTCTGAAGAGCAAAACTTAAAGGCGATTGAGGGACCTGGTGGGAGTGGAGGGACATGGTGAAGGCAATTGGGGGACCTGGTGGAAGTGATTGGGGGACCTGGTGGAATTGATTGAGGTGGTGATAGCAGGGAGGGTTATGATCATTCGGCAGGGCTGGGACAAGTGGGCGGTTGGCTACTTGGTTAACGATATGGGTAGTATTAGTGGCGAGCTGGCTGATGAGTTCAAGTGGCTGATTGGTTAGGGATAGGAAAGTACTAGTGTTGAGCTGCTGGTTCGTATAAGTGGCTAGTTGGTTAGGGATAAGGGGTAGTAGTCGTTAGCTGGCTGGTTAGTACGGATGTCTAGTTGGACAGGTTTAGCGTTACTACGATTGGCTGGTTGACTATGGTTATAGGCTGGTAGGCTAATGGATTAGGGCTAGCGGCTAATTCGTCGGTTATAGGCAGGGCTTGGTTTTATCCACTCCCGAATTGCTTACTCATCCCAGCCCACGTCCTTGTCAGTTTTAGTCCACTGTTTTTCAGCTATGGTTGCCACCTGTCCTGATTTTCTCAGGATCTTCCTTTTTCAGAGGCAGCTGTCCTGGGAAATCTGTCTTTCCAGGGCATTAAAAGGCCGGGGTTTCGTCAGTTACATAATAATGCGCAACTCACTCAAAACAACGCATTCACGTTTAGTGCTCCCCTCTTCTGGTATTGTGAGATTTTTTTTTCCCACGATACGTCCCGGTTTTTGTATACCTCATAGGTGGCAACCCTCACCGACATTGAGAGCTGACCCCCATCCTCGTGTTGAACTCTGGTAGCACGAGCCAGACGTTTCATTTCATAATCCTCTTCTATGTCCCCTCTCCCTGGCTAACCGGCTCGCATTCTTCGTAACGCTGCGCGCCGTGCGGCAGTTGTGTCGTGATTTTTATACCCCGTACGCACACAGACCGCGCTTGTAATAAGAGATTTTCATTCGGACACTGATGTCCTCGTCTGGACTTTTTTTTCCAGACCAGGACCAAGACGAGATCAGACATGGACCGACATTTTACGGCGCACTGGACAGAATACCTCTGCTGGATTTAGCCCAATTCCAATCAAACGTGTAGCCATTCAATTACTTATCACGCTACTGCTGGTGTAAAAGGGCCTCCACTTGAGTGAGCTCGATACGGGATTATTTTGGTCTACTCTTCCACGGTGGCCAGACATCTTTTAGAAAAGATTGAGATTACCCACACTTTGCCCCCCACCACACGTGAGCTGCCTACTCTATCCAATCAGACTTGACCGATCCGAAATTAAGCTTCTGCTCGACGGGACTGGACCCGGACTAAATGGGACGTGGCAACTCCCACGGTGTTCAGACCACGAACATCACCACCACCAGCTGCTGCTGATGTTTATGGGTCGTGCGAAATTGAGCGATCGTCGCTGCACCAGACTTTGTTGACGTGATTATTAATAAAGTCGCGAATTTGCTTCGATTATGGCTCCAGTGTTTTCATTGAGACTCCACGTGTGTAGCCTGGGATTCATATCAGCTGGAGCTGCCCGGGACTGAGCTCTCGAAAATGTATTCGATGGGAAATGAAGCCCTGCTTGGAGCCGTTTATCAAGGCGGTTTGGCGAGAGGCGAGATGTTAACTACCTCGCCAGGTATACAGGAGATCGTGGGTTCGATCCTAACCTTGACGCCTACATATTTTGAGTTGGCATGTTCTCCCCGTGGTCACGTGAAACGTTCTTTTTTATTTTACCAGGTAAAGAACGTATTTACTGAGCTACATGGCTCTTTTTCAGAAGCGATCCCGCCACAAATAACAGCTCAATTAAGTGGCTTATCATGTGGACATTTATAGCAGCCAAATACAACAGCAAATAATACCTCCACCATACTCCCATCATCACAATATAATATCCTGCACAGCAGCTGAATTAATCACTCCACCCCCGTTATATGCGTGATTCGGGGGTGTTTGCAGCCTTTGGCTGCCAATCCGGTTGCCGAACGGATACATTTTAAGGTCGCACTCATTGCACACGAATGCTTGCCACAAATGAACCACAATACCTCGCTGATCTCGTTAAGGAGCAATGAACAATCACGCGACACTCCGGTTGTCATCCTTGAAGCAGCAGCAGCAGCAGCGGCTTTTGGTTAACCATCGAACAAAGGCGGTGGTCACCGCTGCATCGCGCGGCGCTTTCAGATTCGCTTCTGCGGCCGTCTGGAACGCTCTTCCTTCCGATGTTAGGACGCCACGGGAGCTGTGCACTTTTAAATCATCCAGATTGACAAACTCATTTCTTGACGACTGCTTTTTGTGTCGAGTTTGCTGTCCTTCCCCCGCGCCTCCAATTAACGCGGTTGGCTACGTAGGGTGCGAAAGAAGTTCAACATACATATAATCCATTATTAGTCTCATACCTGTAAACCCGTCATCAGTGCCTATCGTATTACAGACCAATTCAGACTTCATTGGTCACCCCGTGCCCATATAAATCTCAACGTTCATCCTGCAAAGTTCCATCACCAGTGCCGGATAATTCTAATAGCAAAAGTAGCTACATATGCTACGGGCCCCGCACTTTCAAGCTATCAATTCCGGTTCAGTGATTCTGCACTTGCTCGATTACTATAGTACTATACCGCCTTCAACTTTTACGAACGACTGGGTGTTTAAAGTTAGCGATTTGTCGTATTATCTGGCTGTATAGAAAATGAAAAAATACAATTACTTTACTATGCAAGTTAAATATTTGTGTTTTAATATTTACGTGTTTTTTGTTTGTTATTTAGGGCCCCTTTATAACATATGCTACAAGCCCCGCACGAGCTTAATCCGGAACTGCCCATCACGAGGGAGAAACACAAACACATAGACAAAACGCATGTTGTTGCCCGCATTGAAACGGCTGAACGCCGCACGGACCCGCAACAACTCAATTCGCCTGATACCAGAGCACGTGTGGGTTGACAAGCCATGCAGTTTCACGGCGGGGGGGGGGGACATCACTGAGGTCAACAACGTTGCCCCTGACGTGCGGCGTGGCCCATCAACCCCTGGCTGCCTCCGACTCCGCTTAAAACGAAATGCCGAGTATGGCATTTCGCCTGAACTGCATTTCTGTACGCACTTTTCAGCGTTTGTTCGCTGTTATCTGCCCTTCGAGGTTATTTTCATCCGATTATAATAGAATCAACGAAGCCTATTTAACAAGGTCATCATCATCATAATAATAACGACTCTAATGCATCGCAGCCCTTTGTCAAATCCACTGCTGGATGAAGAGCCTGCAACCCCCACGCCGGTGTCGGTAAATAGACCATACTTCACCACTCTAGGTAAACAGACCATACTTCACCACTCTAGGTAAATAGACCATAATTCACCACTCTAGGTAAATAGACCATACTTCACCACTCTAGGTAAACAGACCATACTTCACCACGCTAGGTAAATAGACCATACTTCACCACTCTAGGTCAATAGACCATACTTCACCACTAGGTAAATAGACTTCACCACTCTAGGTAAATAGACCATACTTCACCACTCTAGGTAAAGTGACCATACTTCACCACTCTCGGTAAATAGACCATACTTCACCACTCTAGGTCAATAGACCATACTTCACCACTCTAGGTAAACAGACCATACTTCACCACTCTAGGTAAATAGACCATACTTCACCACTCTAGGTAAACAGACCATACTTCACCACGCTAGGTAAATAGACCATACTTCACCACTCTAGGTAAACAGACCATACTTCACCACGCTAGGTAAATAGACCATACTCCACCACTCTAGGTAAATAGACCATACTTCACCACTCTAGGTAAATAGACCATAGTTCACCACTCTAGGTAAATAGACCATACTTCACCACTCTAGGTAAATAGACCATACTTCACCACTCTAGGTAAATAGACCATACTTCTCCACTCTCAGTAAATAGACCATACTTCACCACTCTAGGTAAATAGACCATACTTCACCACTCTAGGTAAACAGACCATACTTCACCACTCTAGGTAAATAGACCATACTTCACCACTCTAGGTAAATAGACCATACTTCACCACTCGGTAAATATACCATACTTCACCACTCTAGGTCAATAGACCATACTTCACCACTCTAGGTAAATAGACCATACTTCACCACTCTAGGTAAATAGACTTCACCACTCTAGGTAAATAGACCATACTTCACCACTCTAGGTAAATAGACCATACTTCACCACTCTAGGTAAACAGACCATACTTCACCACTCTAGGTAAATAGACCATACTTCACCACTCTAGGTAAATAGACTTCACCACTCTAGGTAAATAGACCATACTTCACCACTCTAGGTAAATAGACCATACTTCACCACTCTAGGTAAACAGACCATACTTCACCACTCTAGGTAAATAGACCATACTTCACCACTCTAGGTAAATAGACCATACTTCACCACTCTCGGTAAATATACCATACTTTACCACTCTAGGTCAATAGACCATACTTCACCACTCTAGGTAAATAGACCATACTTCACCACTCTAGGTAAATAGACTTCACCACTCTAGG